ACCTTCTTTCCTGTATACTGTTCAATCTGGCTCTGGAAAAAGTAATACGTATGTCATAAATCACAACCACTTGTTCAATATATAATAAATCAACAAATCCTGACTATGCTGATGATATCAATATTTTTGGGAGAACGGAAAACCCTGTACGAGAGGCGTATGTAGCATTTAAAGAGGCAGTTACAAATATGGGTTTAAAAATAGACACCAACAAAACGAAGTATATGAAAATAAGCACGCAACCACAAATCCTTAGACCACTTGTTATAGAAAACGACGTCATCAAAGCAGTAAACGAATTTGTATACCTGGGAGGGGCCGTTAACACTGAAAATAATACTACCGCAAAGATAAACCGTAGAATTTGCGCGGCCAACAGAAGCTATTTTAGGTTCGATCTCCTCCTTAAATCCACATTTATATCGAGAATTGAAAATAAGGCGAATCTATGGAATGCAATGTGGAGAAGACGATACAGCTTCGAATTTTATAGAATATACCAGGAACCTAATATCGTAAAACATATTAATATAGGACGTCTGAGGTGGATAGGATATGTAATGCGGATGGAACAAAATGACCCAGCTAGAAAACACTTCTTGATAGACCCATTAGCCAGAGAAGAAGAGGAAGACCTAGAACAAGGTTCCTTGATAACATCGATGAAGACATTCATCGGGGGGAAAGAAAGCTTTATAGAAAACGCAGATTTGATTTTTTCTTCAAAATGAAAACATTAATGCAGATATGTTTGTTAAATGGCTTGAGGGGAAACTGTTACCTATTCTGAGTGAACCATCAGTTATAGTTGTAGATAATGTATCTTACCATTCGGAGATTTTGGAGAAACAACCAAAACAGTCGTGGAACGTACCGAGCATAAAAGATTGGTTAGTTAAACAAATATCAATTTTCCAGAATACGCCTTCAATTCAGATTTACTGGAAATTTCGAAACGTAATGAAAAATCAACAGTTTATAGAGTTGACCAAATTGTATCAAGTTATGGACATCAAGTGCTATGGTTACCGCCATATCACTGCCAGTTTAAATCCCATCTAACACATCTGGGGTATATGTAAAACGTATTAATCACGTTGGAAGCAGTGGATACAGTGACGATGCTGTTAGGGAAATGTGGCAAGAAGCTCTTAAAACTAAAACTCCAGAAATATGGCCAAAACTGTAAATAAATGTGAAAAATTAACAGAAGATTGGTGGATCCGAAAATTAATCCAGTGAACTCCAGTGCAGTTTACCGTGCCTTTTACTACACCGAAAGGTTTTCTGCGAATTCCAATAATCGTTTAGATGTGTAAGTTGGTTGAATGTACTGTAGGAAGAGGGTTTACCTTAAAGATCTTAAAGGAACGAAATAGACGAATCCTCGATATAACCGGGTTTTTGAAGCTAGAAATAGAGCGGCAGAAGTAGACGAAAGAGGTGGAAAGTGGCAGGATAATGAAAACCGAAGTAGTCTGTTCCTGTTTTTGTTAATAACAAACTTTGCGATTAACCAATTCATTTTTTAAAAAGTTTCGGACATTTTTCAAAATGTTTGGTTGAATAGCTTTGATAATATAAAATTTCCTTGTCCGATTCCTCAATTAATTTTAACATGATTAGTTTGTTGCATTAGTTAGATATATTATGCAGTTTAAGCAATTAAGTATTTGTAACTTCGTTTAAATTCCTTACTTAATCTATTAGACTTTTCCGATGCGCTTTGTAACGAAATAAAAATAGAAACTATTAATATCCTCTTTAGAACGATATTAACAAGGACTAAGATTAAAGTTAAACATTGTAATGAACTTCCACGTTCTCTTCCTCTCTCTTCTTGTTTGTTAATAATAAAAGAGGGCATTTAAATCGAACACACCAACTGGAAACGACGCCACTTTTATTATTGAGGCATTCTTTAACTCAACTAACCTTTGTGATCTCTACAATTGCTTCTATTAGCCTCATTGCTCGCAGTATGCCTATGGCGTAATTTGGTAATGGTGAAAAGGTGCTACTTTTAGCCCATAAATGCTATTATTGTTGGTACTTATCAAGATATAAATAGTTAAAAGAGGCAGCTGCACTCGTTTGTTTAATTAGTCTTTTAGTTCCTATTTGATATACAGTGGGATGCGACATTCCTAATGAAACAAAAAGTTACAGCATAATACAATGTGTGTGGTTTTATTGGAAGGTAGGTATTAAATATGTGTTTCTTCAAACGTCAAATAATGATGACATTACTTATCTAACTTGATCCTGTCAAAGTTTGATGTCTCCGCCGGCAGCAGTTTTTTTCCCATTTCTTTGGCGGAGGGAAAAATGTTGTCATGGCAACAATATGAAACATGTCACAAAGCAACAATAAAAATGTCATTAACAACAATTAAACATCATTTTTATTTATAGTAATATTAAAAGTACAATTAGTTAATGAGGCATTTTCAAAATTGAAACCGTGCAAAAATGTTCCAGACTCTTGATACGCATTGGTAATTGTTGATGATACTTTAATAATTGCAAACAACTGTCAAACAACTGTAACCAGGGAGACGCAAATCCCACCGACGACTTAATTATTTTAATTTCTAACATCTAGACGACTTTGATAGTTGTCACAGTTAATTTCGAGTAAAAATAGCGTATGAATTGTACTATTTATGGTTGAAAATTGCTACGTTTGAAGAAAAAATAGTATACTTTATTCGGCAAAGAAGCGACTTTTCTTGACTTGCCCTCTATTACGCGCCTCACTTCGTTCGGCGTGTAATATCGGGCGCGCCAAGAAAAGTCATGCTTCTCCGCCTCATAAAGTAATATACTATTATATTCTTTTATTGTTATTATCTCTCTCTTCAATCCTGACCCCCCAGGGGAGTGTAGTGGTCGACGTGATGTCGTGTATTGTCCGTCTCCAGAAATCTCTGTCTCTGGTCATTTCTTTTAATTCATGCATAGGTCTTTGGCATATTCCTGTAATTTGATCAATCCATCTTATTGGAGATCTTCCTCGTGATCTTCGGGCTTCTACCTTTCCTTGTATTATGAGTCTTTCCATGTTTTTCTGTTTTCAAAATATTTTAATTGTTGGAGATGGACTTTACTAGAGAGTCGTTGGCTAATTTTTAGCTCTCTTAAAATTGAATTATTTGTTCTACGGTCGGTCCAAGGAATTCGTAACATTCGTCTCCAACAGAACATTTCAGTGGCGTCTATCTTTCTTCTCTCCGATTGTCTCAGAGTCCAAGATTCACATCCTTAGGTCAGTATTGGGAATATTAAGCAGTTGATCAGTTATAAGGTATAACTTGTTCAATTTGGTATCTCAGTATATATTCATCGTCTTTCTCTTTACATTTATTTAGATTAGAGTCGGTTTTAGCTTTCTTCTTCTTCTTACGGTGCCTATCCGTTGCGGATGTTGGCGATCAGCATGGCTAACCTAACTTTGCTTATAGCTATTCGGAATAGTCCAGCTGTAGACGTATTGAACCACGTTCTCTGGTTTTGAGACCAATATATTTTTTTCCCTGGTCCTCTTCTTCTAAATAACTTGTCCTGAAGAATGAGTTGCAACAAGCGGTATCTTTAAGTCTCAATTAAAATTTATTCAAAAAATACATTAAGTGCCAAAAATTCGATCCATGCCTATTTTATACAGAAGAAGACACATTTTTGGAGATGCCACTTATGGATTGGGCATACATTAAAGAAGTACCATTATACAAACATAATGATAACATAATAACTTTATTCGAAAATTGAGAAAATGAAAAGTAGTTTTGTTGATAAAAAACAGTTATAACAATATAATGTATTATAGGCGAGCGGTTTACCCCTATAAGCAGAGCCTACTAAAATTCTTTTTGCATTTCTAATGCACCAAACCTTTTTTATTCGATTCTATATATTTTTCCAAGATGAAATGTATTTTTTTTTTAATTTTTACAAGTGGGCCGGCAATTGTTATTACAAATAACTTATACAAAAAAGCAATTTCACCGAATTGTTTCGGAATCAATTTTTTTTAGGTGTATCTCGTCAAAATAAACACTTTTTCTTTCCTGATAATTTTTCGAAAAATGCTTCCTTTTCAAGTTATTTGCATTTTTTTGTTGAAAAAATGCCTTAATTAGTGATTTTTGGGATTTTTTTTTCTAAAAAACTACTAAATGAATTCCAATTTTACAAATAGCTTTATAATCTTTAAACCGTCGAGTATAAGTTGGAATATTTTGACAAGGATAAATGGTTTCTCTCTCGCTAAAAACGTGGAGCCAAATATTTCGAATATGCCTTTCGAGAGTATCCCGCTAAGCGTGTACAACGGTTGAGGTGCTGTAGGTGCTCGAATCTTTTCGACTTTTTTAATAATGTAATATATATATATACATACATATATATATATATATATATATATATATATATATATATATATATATATATATATATGAAAAATATCTGATAATTGATTAAATGAAATTTTGATTTTATTTAATACTACGTGGGTAAGTAAATACTGAGTTCTTCTTCTTCTTCTTCTTTTGCCCTTTAATTCGTCCAATTTTGAACATAGGCTCCCCCAGTTTCCTCCATTCGCTTCTGTTTTGTGCTTTCTGTTTCCAGTGTATTCCTCCTATCTTTCTAATGTCATCTCCCCATCTCATCTGGGTCGTCCTCTTGCTCTCTTTCCTGTCCATGGTCTCCATTGTTGTATCGTGTTGTTCCACCTATTGTCTGTTTGTCTGGCGTTATGACCTGCGAAACTCCATTTTAGCCTGGCTATATGTTGACCTGCGTCTTTGACTTTTGTTTTGTTTCTTATCCAGATGTTTTGCTTCTTGTCTTTTAATTTTACCCCAACATTGCTCTCTCCATGGCTCTTTGTGTCTTCACTATCTTAGAAGAAGACAAATACTGAGTACTTACTAAATATTCTACATTTCACTACAATTATTATTTCATCTCTTGATCCATTAACCCATGGTTGAACAATGGAACATAATTGTTTCGATTTTAATTATTTTGAAGGCGAAACTAGTTTAGATATTTTACAAAAGTATTTCTGCTCATGTACCGGAAAATGTTCTACGAAAAATTGTAATTGTATTTCCTATAATTTAGAATGCTGCGCAGTATGTACATGTACACCAAAGAATTGTAAAAATGTTAAAGACGACTTTATTGAAGACAATGAAATCAGCTTATTAGATGGAAATCCTGTTGCTGTTGACGAAAATTTTCAAATTATTGACAATGAAAACGATGTATAAATAATATCATATTTTTATTTTATTATATTTTTCAATGAAAATTGATTATATATTGCTTAATGTATTACACTGTAATAAAACATTCAATAATAGAGTCACCACGTATATTAAAAGAAAAATTACATTATTATAGCATTGTAAAAAATTAATTTTAATTGTTTTAATTATAATATGTCTATATAAAAATAATTATAAATATCTTTTTTTTTAATAAATTGTACGTAATATTTGTGTTTAAATTAATTTTTTAAATCTAAACAAATATTTCTACGCGCCGCACGCCTGTATCGCCGCAACCGCTGTACACACTTAGCGGTAGACTACTCGAAAGGCATATTCGAAATATTTGGGTCCACGTTTTTAGCAAGATAGAAAAAAATTATCCTTTCTAAAATATTCTAACTTGTACTCGACGGTTTAAAGATTATAAAGCTATTTGTAGAATTGCAATTCATTTAGTAGTTTTTTAGAAAAAAAAATCCCAAAAATCACTAATTAAGACATTTTTTCAACAAAAAAATGCAAATAACTCGAAAAGGAAGCATTTTTCGAAAAATTATCAAGAAAGAAAAAGTGTTTATTTTGATGAGATACACCTAAAAAATTGATTCCGAAACAATTAGGTGGAATTGCTTTTTTGTATAAGTTATTTGTTAATAACAATTGCCGGTCCACTTGTAAAAATTTAAAAAAAAATACATTTCATCTTGGAAAAAATATATAGAATCGAATAAAAAAGGTTTGGTGCATTAAAAATGCAAAAAAATAATTTAGTAGGTATATTCTGTTTCTAAGCGTCTTTTGGGGGGTAAACCGTTCGCCTATTAAGTAATAACAAAAGGTTATTTGTTATTAATACCTAGTATTTTGTACTCGGGCCCTTATAACAGCTTACATAGGTCTTGGCAGTGTAGTAATTAAATTTTAAACATGAAGTTGGTCAAATTCGTTCCAAGTGTCCCAAGACCCGGGGTAGCCGAACTTGAATTCTTCTTCCCAGTGTGTCCCATAGATGATCAATTGGTCCTATGAGTGGCGCAAAAGTACCACATGCTCATCTGAAATGGATTTATATCCTCAGCTCCTGTCATAGAACCTTCATCTATAAGAAGTCAGTATGGGCATCAGAACTTATGCAAGATCAAGGTATAAGTATCAAGTATTTAAGGAATTAATTATATATGTAATTAATTCTAGAATTATAAAAAATGTGAAACACTTCACGATTTTGCGTGTTATCCTTGTGCAGGGCCATGCTAATCTTCTCTGTATTGTTCCAATTTTAGTATATGTACCGCCGAAGCTAGTACTTCTAGTTCTGTTTATTCTAGACTTTCAAAGTTCTTTAGAAGTGATCACAAAATGGAGCGGTGGTCCAAGGAAATCTGCAGCGTCAACCTAACGCTGCAGATCTCCATAGCGATTTACAGACATCACGAAAAAATTTCTCAACAAATATTATACTGAGGCAGTACATGTAACAGATGACCGCGACCAATGGAGAAATGTCATTCATCTGACTATCCAAGCTGCTGAAGCTTATTGATGAACTACAACACATCTGCCAAGATGTTCATGATTATGATTATGATTGTTGGTATATTTTTATTGTTGCTTTCTTCTTTTAATATTAGCAACCAAAGCCTGCTACATTCTGCTGATGGGTTTGATACACATGTTTCTTCGTTAACCAGTGTGAGAGCTGTTTTTTTGACTGTTTTTTTTATGTCCATCATGTTTCTTTCGTGATTATTGATGCATCTTTCCATTGCACTGTGTGCTCCTTGTCCCAGGTATTCCAGGCTACCTGTCCGGAAGCACTTTTCGTTTTGATGATTTTTTGAGTCCTATTGACTATATGAAATAATAAAATTCCTTGAGCCTCTTTTACCTTAAGCCTCAGTTACTTTTATCCATATTTTTCTTACATAGTCTATAAGAAATGTAGGATATATTCGAAAATATTCAATATAATTTTCATATGTTGCGTCATTCGATACTATAAATTTTATTTTCTGTGACATTATGCAGACATTTAAGAAAAATACCTCGTCTTCTTACATCCGGGTTAAAGAATATCGTAAATAATAATAAAGTATTCCGGAATAAATTGCCTCGTCCATATTAATCAGCAGAGAAGGACTGGTTTTGAAGAATCACACTGAATTTATTAACGGATAGTTCTTTAAACTAGAATCAACTGGAATATTAAAAAATGTGATAGTTGATTTACACTATACGAACATTACAAAAGTTAAAATATACCAATAGCTATTAAAGGAAGCATTTTGAAATTTTTACCTGGTTGAGAGGTTCCCTTACCACTCCAAGGTGAGCTTCTACCGCTATTCTTACTTTTACAAGTTTTGGAAGTGTTAATTAAACTCAAATTTGATTCAGATTACAGGATGTAAATGTCAATAGTTTATTTCGAAACTGATACATTCAATCGAGCTCATTTTTCGCACATCATTTTAGACATAACCTCGAAAGTTGTAAAAATGTCATTTGATTCTATTAATTATTAAAAAATAAAAAAATAATTATATCATTTTCTATTTAAATTTAGAAAAGAAATTAGATTATGTTTTGGAAGCTGATAAGCTGATACATCCTGAATGTTTTTTTATATCTGACTCTCATAGAGGGCACTAGTTACAAGGTTCGTACCAAGTAAAAATACATGTATGTCACATAATAAAACATGAGTTTTTTAAGGATAGAAATATTAATCAAAATTCCAAGTGAAATTAAACATCATACAAGTGTACACCGAAAAGTTACTCTTGGTAAAACTCTTGGAAATAATCGTTTTTTCTATAGAATCCAATAATCTTATAAACGGTTAGGGATCAGCTATGATTTGAATTCTGTCTTCTAATTTTTGACGTGACTTTACCTCAGTAGCAAAAACTTTTTTCTTAACATGGGTACGACCAAATTGTGAAGTCAAAAGAATTAAAATTTTATGACCGAGCAGGTCAGGGAATAGGAGCTTCTATACTTCTACCAATCCATCTATTCGGAAAATGGTTATTCAACCAATTACGACACATTTTATCAAAGTGCGGTGGAGCTTAGTGGAGTGGATATATTTAAAAATTGTTTAAATTTTTTAAATATGTGTTTTGTGAAAAAACGTTTTTAAACAATTTTTTGGATAGTTTTCGCCATTATTTGTAGGAGTCAGATGAGTTGTCTATTCCATTTTCTAAACACCATGACAACTAACCTCAATTATTGTAAGATACAAACTAATTTTTATTCTGTCATTTGTACTAATTTTGTTTATTATAGCACCCTGATGATGCAAATAAAGATTTGCGAAAGCTTGGTATACTAAAGAGAGTACTTCTTTGTCCTCTCTTCTACTACATCTTGCGCTGCATACCTAAATAGTTGTGTTCTGTCTGTGTAAACTGCAGTGTTCTGTCAGTTGACACAAAAAAGTGATATTTGACGTTTCCATTACCCTCCTTGAACTTTTCAAATTTAATGCAGTGAAGGAAGCGGCAGCCTTCCCACGAAGACCAATAAACACAGATGTGGTCCATAACAAAACAAACGAGAGTAAGTAGAAGAAAAAGACGCTGGTATGTTTAGGAAACTAGACCGGAGTGATGTGGAGATCATTAGAAGAAAAATTTATAACATGTATGAAGAACAGATGGTCCCCACGTTAAAAACCATCATGCAAAAGTTGCAAAAAGATGACACAGGAATCAAGTGCCGTAGTGAGACAGTAAGGCAATGTCTTCTAAAAAAAACGGCTTTAAAATAAAAACGATCGATAAATGCCAAGTGATTATGGAATCTGCTCGTCTACAAATATGAAGGACAGAATGTTTAATTAAAATTCATAATTACATAGAAAGTGGAAGAGCAATTGTCTATCTGGATGAGACGTGGTTTGACTCCCATGACGTTCCAAAATATGGTTGGGCAGATTCTTCTGGTCGCTGTACAATAAAAGCTCCATAATCCATGAAGGAACAAAAAATGGTTTTATACCTAATGCTTTAGCCTTGTCATACAAAAACATTAAGGACTCCCGTGTCAACTATCATGATGACACCACGTCAGAAATATTTGAAAACTGGTTTTCAACGAAGGTATTGCCAAATATACCACCAAACAGTGTAATCGTGATGAACAATGCCGGCTACCACAATATATGCTGGAAAATAATATATATTATGAAGATAATAATTCAAAAAAAGAATTACTTGAAACTTTAAGATCATTTTCCATCAGCAAACAATATTATTGCGACAGTTTGGCGGAAGAAATGGGTCATACAGTATTAAGATTTCCTCCTTCCTATTGCCTGTTCAATCCAATTGAACACATAGAATGAACTTTGGTGAAATGAGCGGCAGATATCGAGCAATGTTTTATTAATTAAATCTTACCTAAGTACTTTCGCTTCCTAAAGCATCTTCAGGGGCATTTCGTCAAATTTCGGGCTCTCCAACAATTGCAGAATATCATAAACTTAAAATTAAACATAAAATTGAACATAACACTACACCTACAAGGACAAATAGTTTAAAATTATTTAAAAATAGTGGAAGCTACATTCTGGTCGGCAATACTACGGAGAATGAGAATCATGAAAATGAGAATCATTCTCTCTCTTACCGGTTGTAATCTATGGTATCCTATTATTGTCTGTAGTAGAATGGCTCTTACTCTAGTAGTTCTTCTTAATTATGAATAGAAAAACACTGAGACTATCTCCTTGTTTAATACCTCTCTTCCAATTAAATTCTTCCGATCATTTCCTGGTTATTACTACTCTTTCTTTACCTCTTTGTAAGTACATTTTATAATCTTTATTAATGTATTTGTTACATTTATTCTCATCAAGCATTTCGCTATAATTTGTCTTTCTATCGCGTCAAGTGCTGTTCTTAGGTCTATGAATGCTAATACTAATTTTCCCTCGTATCTATGCTTCTTTCTATTAGGTTCCTAATGATATATATTATATG